CTATGCATCTTCTATGTCCACCATGGCCGACTACTATGCGGTCTATAAGGATCATGGATGTAATCATCCCATATCATCATCATCTTATTTTTGTCGGTTGAAACCTTCAAACTATTTTTTAACCACCTCTCATTCCACTGTTTAAATATAATTTCAGTTTCGAAACTTGGATTCCAGATTTCACACCATTGACTATGCATGTTAATTAACCCTCACCTTTATTATTATTATTATTGTTTCCTTTAATTCCTAGAGGAACATAGGGCTTCAGCCGTACGTCTCCACTGCGTTCGGTTCTCTGCTAGAGTCTTCACCTGGCTCCAAGTCTGCCCACATGCTTTCATCTCCTCTTCACATGACCTCCTCCAAGTCACCCTTGCACTGACGACCAACTCGCCGCTTCCCGTTCGGGTTCCACTCGAGCGATGGCTTGTCTAGTGATGTCACTTGATGGTTTCCTCAGAGTATGGCCAGCAATCCATCTCCATTTCTTCCTGCCTATTTGTTTCACAATCGGTTCCTGCTGAGTTGGTTCGCTCCCAGAGATCCGTACCTGTTGCTGATCTTTTCTGACAGGCCATCTGATCTTGAGTATTGAGCGAAGACAACTGTAAATGAAGGTCTGTAGTTTGTTTGAGATGCTCTTTATGACGCGCCAAGTCTCTGATCCGTATAGTAGCATTGACTTTACATTGGAGTTGAAAATCCGGATCTTATTTTTGATGCTGAGTGCTGTTGACCTCCACACAGAATTGAGAGTAGTGAAAGCTTGTCTTGCTTTTCCGATTCTTGCTTTGATATCCTCATCAGTTCTGTTCGCCTGTAGTTGAAACGATGCTTCCCAGGTAGGTAAAGGAGGTTGTTTCTTTCAGGTTCCTCCCATTTATGCTGATTGTTGTCTGTTGTTGTTGCTGTTGGTGATGTTGCCCAGGAATTTCCATCACCTCTGTTTACTCTATGTTCACCTGAAGTCCTATCTTTGATGCTTCTTCTGCCAACTTGTTGCTTTTCACTTGAATATCTTCCAGTTTGTGGGAAATCAGACATATATCATCAGCGAAGTCCAGATCCTCCAAGTTTTTGTGTGTCCATTTTATGCCTGTTTCCTCATTGCCCACTGGTTGTCGCATTATCCAGTCTACCGCCCGCCATCAGGAAAATCATTGAAGATAGTAGGCAGCTTTGTCCTCCTCCTGTCCTCACTTCGAAGTATTCCGTACGTTTCCTGTTGTCGATTACTTGGCATGCAGCATTGTCGTACAGCTGTTGGATGAGATGTATAATTGTCGGTGGCACCCCGTAGTAGCGAAGTAGTTGCCAAAGCACCTCTCGATCGACAATGTCGAAGGCCTTTTCAAAGTCGATGAAGTTGAGATAGAGATGTGACCGCCATTGCAAGCTTTGTTCAATGATGATTTGTAATGTGGCGAGTTGATCAATACATGACTTGTTTCTCCTGAATCCAGCCTGTTCCGATCGAAGTTTTTCATCCAGGGCTCACCTTTATTCAAGTTTAGATAATTCGATCGATATATTTTGACTAGATTTAAGGATAAGTCAGCTTGGCTTTCTAATAATTTTCCGATTGGCTTACTGACTGACAGTCTGATTGATTTGTAACCACAATGACACTTCACATTGGCCATTGGACTCATCATTACTAAGTGTTCAGGGTTATCTTAGCCTTCAATAAAAAAATAAGTTTCTCCAAGACTTTAGATAATACGGAATACCAGAGAAAGTAAGAAGCTAGTGGCATGATTTGAAATGTCATAAACTACGTGACACAAAATCTAATAAGATGTAGATCCACCAAAGAGGAATACTGTTTTCGTAAATTCATTTCAAAGGTATGGAAGTACTTATTTGGAGTTCTAAAAAAGTTAAGGAAGTCCCTATCTAAAGGTCACCTGTTAATATTAACTGGTTACAAAATAGATGAAAAATTGCATATCAGGAAAGAAAGATGGACAAATTACTAAACTTTGTTAAGCTATTATTTGATTGGTTGGAGGATTTCATCATGAGCTGACATCAGTTAGAGAACCATTGGAAAACCCCCTGGGAATACTGGACAGCTGTTTCGTCAGCCCATTTCGGGATTCTTCAGCAGTACGCACCCACCGGATTTCGAAACAGCTGTCCAGTTCTCCAAGGTTTTCCAATGGCTCTCTAACTGATATCGTCTCATGATGGAATCCTCCAGCCAATCAAACAAAATCCCTACAAAAACCATTACTTGATCATTATTTATTGTTATTATCTCACCGAGTTCCAACTGGCGCATACAGCTCCAACAACAAATTTATATTTTGCTTTGTTCTCTGCAGTCCTCTCTAGCTGGGCCCACGACTGCTCATAAGCTTTCATCTCCTTTTCACACGATCTCCTCGGAAGCCTAGCTCGTTGTTCCTAACTAGGGTTTCACTTGGGTGACTGCCTGGCGTGCGATATCATCAGGCGGTTTCTGCAGCGTCTGTCCAATCCATCTCCATTTCCTTTATCATGAATGTTGAGCAATTATGTTTGTGATTAGTGTGTTCTCAGGAATTATTTATGGGTGCTGATTCTTTCTGGCCAGTCATCTGTTCGCTAGTATAGAGCTAGAGAAGGCAGCTGTTGATGAAAGTCTTCAGTTATCTGTTCGAAATTGCCTTTGTGATGTGACAAGTTTCTGAATCATAGAGAAGGGCTGATTGACTTCACATTTGTGTTGAAAAACTGAATCGCGTTCTTTATGCTGAGCGCAGAAAATTTTCAAACTGATTTTAGATCGATAAAGGTGCATCTTGCCTTTCCGGTTCTGGCTGGCTTTGACATTTTCATCTGTTCCAACTGCCTATAGTTGAAACGTTGCTTCCTAGATAAGTGAAGGTAACCTCTTTCAAATTTTTCCCACTGTTGATGACTGGTGCTTGTTGCTGTTGGATGGCTATCTTTGTCACCTCCGTCTTCTCTACGTTTACCTGAAGTCATGTCTTCGCAGCAAACCACTTCTGTCCACTTATTGGTTTTCACCTGTAATTCTTCGAATTTATACAGCATTAGAAACAAATCCTCGGTGAAGTCAAGATCTTCTAGAGTCTTTTTTATTGGTTCAACAGATTCCTGTTTTCTAGCCACATAATCTAGTCCACCACAATTTAGAACTGTTAAGCAGTCTCATGTAATCTAAAAATCAATAACTGATGAATATCGCTCAGAAACGATTATCATTTAAACTCCTACCACTGTCAGAACAGCAATATCATTCATAAGAGTAAAAGGTTCAGAGCAGGCATTTGTATATTTAAACCGCTATCTTTAAAATATACTTTATGCATTCAAGTATTGGTTTGTAGGGATTTTGTTAGATTGGTTACAGGACCTGACAATGGTCAGAGAACCATTGGAAAACCTGGGAGTACTGGACAGCTGTTTCGTCCTAGTTTGATAGTCTTGGACAGTACGCACCTACCAGGGTTGGAACCCAGGCGAGACACTGGGACCGGTCCAATGGTCAGCGCCCATGAATTCTAACTTCTGCCAAATCACGACATAACGCGACTGCTAGCCAATGTATGTAAATTCCGAATCTCTTACTCACTATGCACAGTATATGTGTTTCCTGTTACTGACTATGGACAATCTATCTGTCTCCCTAAGGCAGAATTATCGATGATCGTCATTTCTGAGCGACATTCATCACTTATAGCTTTATAGATTTCGTAAGACCAATTGCTTAACTAACCTTCATAATTTTTTCATTATTTTCTCTGATACTTAATTTTACGTTATTGTTACTATAACGGTAGGATTTGGTATCTTTATATAGCCAAATTATGTACACCTTATCTATCTTCAGCGCACCATTTGCACAGATCTTTCATGTTGTGGTACTTCTGGACTTTATATTGTGTTTCTTTGTGTTCCTTTCACGTCTCCCATGTATCTCCACAACGCTGTATTATCTGCCTTCTCTGAAATCAAATGTATCTCCCTGCTGTTTGATGTTTATATGCCGATGGACGTCTCTTTATATACTACTGATAAATCTTACCAGTAGCACACGCCACATTACCAACTGTTACTGACAGTACATCTTTTTGAGCATTTTCAAGCACCTTTTAGAACAAATTACTTCATAGCTTCAAAGTGAAGTTAGGAAAAAGAATATCCTTTGCTAATTTGATGCAAACTTGTGATTGACTACACCAGGAAGTTTCTTGATTACTGGAGTCCAGCAGGTTGGGCATAAGGAAAACTACTCGTTGATGACATTGGCTTGTGGCCACGCTAAAATTATGGATTGACAGAAGTGAGAATTCATAGGTCACTAAATTTTAGCCTAAGTGGTTGAATGGTCCACTATCTTGGCCTTGTGACCCGAAGGTTCTGGGTGCGTGCTGATGAAGAGTTAAGGACTAGGACGAAACAGTACTCCTGTAAGGATTTGATTTGTTTCGTGATAAAATACGGAATGATGTCAGTTAGAGAACCAAAGAAAACTAGAGGATGTACTGGACATCTGTTTTGTACTAGTTTGGGACTCTTCCGACAACAGGACGAAGTCGCTCCAACTTTTAATGAGAAGTGATGAACAATGGTATCCATCAGGTATTGTGTGAGGACAAATAGTCGTCAGTGACATTCTCTGGTGGTCGTTCTAAAAGCACGAATTGACAGAAGTTGAAATTCATGGGCCATCGGGTTAACCCACAGTGGTTGAATGATCTATGAGCTTGCCTTGTAGCAGGAAGGACTTGGATTTGGACCACAGTGGATACACACTGATGAAGAGCCCCAGAATAGAACGAAACAGTCGTCTAGTACCCCGTGATTTTCAAAAATTCTCTAACTGATATCAATCCGTGATCAGACCTGAATCTGTAAATACAGTCAGTGAGTGAGTTATTTGGTTTTCTTGTTTTTAATGTAATTATGAGCACCTTGGATTGGTCAATAAACTCTACATGTGTATTCCTCTTTTTCTCTCTGTGTGTGTGCGTCTGTTCATTCAGTTGAACAGCAGATACGATCCAGATGCCGAACGTCAAGTTATTGGTTGGGTACAACAGCTAACGGGACAGAGTATTCCATTGGGACGTGAAAATGTTCAAAGATCACTTAAAAATGGACGTATCCTAGTTGAGTAAGTCAAAGTGTGGTTTTTCTTAAATTATTTCAAACAGTACTTTTATGGAACGTGAAATTTTCAGCACGTTGTGCAATACTGTACCTAGTTTTCTGTATAAATCACATAGCACAGGGCATTTACACTGATAATCGTGGTGTTTGGTGACTAGCAGTGGAATCAACCAGGATGACGAGCATTTCCTCCAATTTGGAACTAGTCGTCAGCTAGTGAATGTACCTGAATTCCCCAGTGTCAGTGGTGTTCCCACCAAGGCTCAAACCCAATGCCTAAAGCGTTATCCACTACACCACCACTTGGACGACGAGAGCCACCTCTTTCTTGTGCAATGGGTCTTATTTATTATTTTATTCAGTTTAGATTCTCCCCTGCGATTGATTGGATCAAAGTGCTTGGTCTCAGGTTGACATGTCAGCGCCTTGTGCAGATACAGGTACATCCAACTGACGAGTCCCAAGTGGGATGAAATGCGCATCCTGGCCGGATTCCACTGCTAGTCACCACCCACCAATTGACTTCAAGTTACATATGAACCAGACATTGTAGGAGTATCTGCACAAGGAACCGACATGTCAACCTGAGACACATAAATCAGGTTTCAGGCGCTTGACTGGAATGACTTCAGCAAGCTTGAGGAGAATTGAGCGTCCAGAAAGAAGCGGTTATCAGTCTTTCTTTGCCCTGGTGACTGGATATTTTCATCTCTCTTCTATCTAAGTGCGTAATGCTGAAAAGGTTCCATTGTGTATGATTATTATTGTTGTTCGGAGTAGTGTTTAATATTATATATATATATATACATATATATATATATATATTATCACTGTATGCATAAATTGATCGATTGATTTTTGTTTAAAATGAACTCTGTGCAATTATGTTAAAATTGTTTTTGTAGATATATTTAATAATGTCTTTGGCCTGTAAGCAGCTGACGAGAAGGCAACGAAATAAAAGATGGTACCATTTTATTCTGCAAAAACTGTAGTTCTTGCCTTGATACAACTATTGTATGACTGAGCCAGCTTCGTGTTTAAAGTAGTCATATTCAAGAAGGGATGTAAAATTGAATGTTAACTACTTAAGTGGAGCTTTTATTATTATTATTTCATGGCTTTACGTCCCCAGTTGAGCATGGGGATGGTTTCAAGCTACAGGCTTGAAGTTTCGTTAGCAGTGGTATTTATTTTTACAGGTTGGTGTTGCTAGCTACCCACATGCCCAACCTTTTCTCTTTATTAGTCTTATTACTAGCTTAGCGGTGCAAAGGAGTGCATCAGTCGGGGACTGAACCCGAGACCACCTGCGTTGTTGACGAGCATGTTACGACTGTGCCACCAACTCAATAAGTGGTGATACTGGGGATTTACTTTGTGTCTAAAGTACTGTATACTTTATTTGTTTGGGATGAAACTATTTTCAAAAGTAGTCTTATTTGTACCATAACTCTACTTGAAGATATTGTCATCTTGGTTGGGTACAACAGAATAACTCGACAAAATGTTTCCAATAGATGTAAAAAAAGGTTAAAAGAACATTTAGGCACACTTCAGCTTACCAGTTACCAATTACCTCCCGATTAAAATATAGGGCTTCAATGCCATTCATTTCTCAGCTATCAATTTTAATTAGCTTCATAATTTCCCACAAGCTTTCATTTCCTCCTCGGATGATCTATTCACCGCCACCCTCGAATCGACATTAAACTCGTTACTTCCCACGCGGGTTCCATTCGACGGTCTGGTATACTTGAAACGCCACACTTTTCAGAGGAGGAGACTGTAAAGTGGTGTAGCGCTCCAAGCCCTCAAGTGTAACCTGAATTGGAAACGATGGGCAGTCGAAGGACTAGCTTAAGACAACTGGCGATATTCTTTCCAAGCCCTATGTCCCGATGAGAACCAAAAGGAATAATAATAACAACATAAGAGACATAAATTTTTGTTTTTGAAATGAGACTTTAAACAAGAGACAACTCGAAGGATATTTCGAATGTCTAGGTTTCAGTTTTTGTTTAGCAAATGCTCACTTAAGGGGAAAATTATATTCACGAACCAAAACTTGGAACTTGAACAACAAGTCTTCTTTTGATTGAAAGTATCTGTCATCTTTCTAGGTCGAAGTAAAAAACTATTTCTATCAATTATTTCTACATTCTAGTTCAATGCACTATCCTACATATTTATTTCAAATACATACCAATATTTTAAAACATTGTCCACTAATTAATTAATTAATTATTTTTCCATCAATCAGAAGTTACGGCTAATTAACTGTGAAGTTACATTGTTCATTATCTAGTCTAAATATCTTTGTAAGGTATTTTGAAATTGTATTATGAACTGGTTATTTATTAATGTGCACAAATGTATAGTTTTATAGATTTAAAGGTAGTATCTACGGTCCCCCCCCCACACACACACACTTTGATGATGACTCAAACCTGTTGAAGGTTGAGCTACAAATATTGACCAATCAGGAGAGAGTATGCAAGCGTTGTAAATGATTGGATAAAAAAATAGTGAACAACCTTGGACAATATTAATTAATTGTTTCAAACAAATCAGTTAATGTTCATTTTTCAAGATTAAGCTTAACATCAATTTTTAAGTGGCTTTATTCATATATATATGACTCTAGAAGATCTGGATCTTGTGAATGATTTATGTATAATGACACACAAAGTCGAAGATGTACAGGCGAAAACTAACATGTTGAAGGAAGCGGAAGTGAAAGTAGGACTTCAAATGGACATACAGAAGACATAGGTGATGAGTATACCCAGCAACAAAATAAAATAAGCACCAATCACCATCACTGGGGGGGAAATTTGAAGGAGGCCACCTTTTTTTCTCATTTGGGTAACATCGTTTCAAATATAGGTGGAGGCATGGATAAGGATGTTAAATTCAGACGGGATCGGATTACTGTGAAATCAATGTTTAAATCTGCTACCCTCAGCATGGAGAATAAAGGTGTGATTTTTACTACTAATGGTAAATCAATACTTATGCATGGTTAAAAGACTTGTCATGTCACTAAAGATGTTTCCAAATGACTATTGCAGACTCTCATCAGCAGCTGCGTTCACCACATACTGAAGGACATATATCCAGACAGGAAAAAAACAAGGAATTCTGGGAGGCAACCAACCAGCCAATCAAACAAGAACCTACTCCCCCAAAAATGCACAAGAAAGTGCAGATGAGTTGGACACTTGTTGAGGAAACCGTTGAGTAAAAGATACGCCAGGCCATCGAGTGAGACCTAAATTCTAAATGACGAGTTAGACGTCGCTTTGAAGGTGGCATGGAGGAGATTGTGGGATGAAGAGATGAGGGTATACAGATAATCGTGTGGCTAACTAAAGAGGACTGCAGAAAAAAAGAGTGAGACAGAGATGTGCTTCCAAAACCCTATACTCCATTTCAAGCCATAGCAATGAATCTTAGTGTGTATTTCGTCAAAAACTTAACCATTGTTAACCATAGATCACTGAACAGAAATTTCCTTCTAGTTTGGAAATACTCAGCCATTCTTATCTACAACTCTAAAAGGGATCAACCTCGGGGCAGTTAGATTATTAGCCAAGAACTTTGATCATTCAGCCTTGTGGTTTAGTATCCAATGCCCATGAATTTCAAATCCTATCAATTCGCAATATAGCGCCACTGCTAGTCAATGCTGTCAGTGCAGATGTATTATCATGGATATATTATAGACTATCTGTGGATTGCTGACAGATGCATAACTTGATGATTGGTAGTTAGATTACGCCATATACTACTGATTAATTGAAGTGAGTAGTTGGATAACACTCATATCAAGCAGTAGTGTGTTGCTGGGTAGATAGAAGTGATATAAAGACCAGAAGACCATTAGGTTCGTTTGGAGCCGAAATCATCATTGGTCTATCCAGTTTGACTGATCTCTAAGAGCCGAGCAAGTGAAAGACAAGCTATCGCATTAGACCACATCAATATGCATATAGCAGTTCTCTTGCTCTTTTGGAACTGAGTACATTGACCTTGCCTTGTATCCGCTTGTAAAACGCGTTCAAGAATACTATCTAGCCTGGCTCACAAAGGAAGAACGTAGCTTTGTTTATAAATCCATAAGAGAACATCTAGTGAACTTCAGGATATTTCAGATGGCTTGATATGAAAAAACCTATCTAGGTAGCTATTGGGATGACAGTTAGGCATTATCTTTGCTGATTGCAGTGATTGGGTCTCACACCTTAGCTGGTAGTGTACGTGAATGGTTCGAATCCCACCACAACATAAGTTCGCATATCCCTCATATAACATCGGTAAACTACACTTTAATTTTGGGGATTTATTGAGGGGATGAGCATACTCCCCACCCAACGAAAACAGTCACCAGTCATTATCGACGGGAGGAATATGAAGGAGGTCGTCCCTTCTTCCACTTATCTAGGGAGCGTCATTTCAACTGCAGGCGGCACACATGAGAATATCAAAGCCAAGAAGCATCGGAAAAGCACAACAGACATCCATCAATCTGGAATCAGTGTGGAAATCGACTCTGCCTAGCACAGTGAACAAGGTTCGAGTTTCCAATACTAATGTGAAGTTAGTCAATTCTTCTACATAATTCAGAAACTTTGCATGTCACTAAAATCGATTTGAACAGAATTCAGACTCTATCAACAGTTAGCTACCTTCACTCAATAATGAAGATCAGATGGCCGGTCAGATGGGATGATTAGCAACGAAGAACGTTAGCAAAGAAGAAACCAAGAACCCATCACCCAAAAAATATGCCGAGAGAAATGGAGATGGATTGAACACACATTGAAGAGACCGTTGAGTGACGTTGTACGCCAGGTCTTCCCTCCGATGGTGATGTGAACGATATCGTACGATAAAAAAATAAAGGCTTTTGACCAGCCGTACAGTCAACTAAATGAGGACTGAAGCGAAAACCCAATGGAGTGGGCCTATTTTTCGCTAGGAATCTAATGATATAATAATAGAATGACGTCCAAACAACAACTACGGGATAGCTGGTTTCAATAACTAACTGTTCATGGGAGTTTCACTATGACATAAGGATCAGATTACAAGTTTAGGGTTCATCTTCAAAAATCAAAATGATTCTTTCATCTAATGTTGAAATCATCTCAGTAACAGTTGCCGAATACGCAAACGAAATAACAGAATAGTTGCTTGGTAAATAAGTCTAATTTGTTCTGCTGGAAGCATCGTCTAAGGAAACCTTATTTTACTAGACTTCTGATTATACAATAAAGAAATGTAAAACAATTAGTTTCCCTTATGAATTTAGATAAAGCAATAAGAAGGTGTAATTTGTCTGAATCGTGTGATGTTGTATATGCGCAACACATTTCGAACAATCTGATCACATACGGACTTGTCATAGGACTATACACATATGAAATTAATAAAGAGTTAAGAGGTGAGAAAATAGACTTAGGTCAAGTTAAAAGGACATATTGAAGATCAAAACAACAATGAAGATCACTAAACCAAATAAGAGAGGTAACGTTACATCTGCCCTGGGTGGTATCAAAACAAAGTTTATCAAGGAAGGTGGTTTAGTGTGACGACGAATTGTTGCTTTGAACGCATAAAGGTGGTTCAAAATTCGTAATTGGGGCTTTCACAAACTTCAAGGTACGCCCCAAACACGTTTTATTGACAAGTTTAAAAGATGTGTTAACGTCAATTTTATACCCTGTCTCTATAATATGTTTCGCATTAGAGGAGCTAAGTCGCCTTTCCTCACCATTAATGGGTTCTGGAGATTCTGTTTGCTTCTGAAGCCAGCCAAGAATATTCTCTGAAGCCAGCCCTTCGTTACAGAGATCGATGAGTCCTCCCCATGTGTATGTGTGTCCACACGTACATTCAAATTGGTAACTACAAATGGTTGTAATAAAAACTGTGTCAGGGGTTGAACTAATTGACTTTTAAGAAACCTTAATGGTCACTGATGTTTCAAGCTCACTCCCACACACACACAAACAGAATGTTATTCACACGGTTATATTACAAAGACAGAAATTAGGTTTAATAAAAACTTTCAAAGCAAACTTGAGAAAAATTGCCAATTCTTGAATATAGTTTAGAAAAGAGCTAAGTGTAAAGGTGAATAATGCAAAGGTTTTAAGAAAAAAGCAGAATTTAATAACATTATATGCTAGGAACCCTGTTAGTAGGAAGTCTCGCTTTAATGAATTTTCGTTGCTGGTAGCATTTATCAATCTTTTTGATTCTCAGTAAGGGATATGAGTTATCTGAGATTACAAATAATGTTACCTACTGATAAATCCTAAAAGTCACAGAATTGAATGAAGTTCAAAGTTTCTTAATGGTTATTTCTTGATATGTAGATCCAGGTTGCTAATGAACAGTAACGAAGATTCAAGTATGATCACGGATTGATGTAAGTTAGGAAACGGCTGAAAACGAGGGAATACAAGATGGTTAAGCCTTCTTAATTTAGGACTCTTCATTAGAACATGCTCTCCGAAATTCGAAAAAATGACCTTGCGGTCACAAGAATGGTAATCGTTCTGAAATCCGGAAGTGGTAGATGTTGGATCCCAGTGTTGGAATGGTCGCTGACGAGATTGCCTTGTATACGGAAGGTCCTGGATTCGAACCTCGATGGGTTTGTGCTTCAGAAGAGCCCCAAATTGGTACGAAACCGTTGAGTGTATTGTATTCCCTCGCCTTTAATGGTTCTTTTACTGATAACAATACCTGATCAAAATTGAAACAAATCGAATCGTTACAAATTAAGTCTTGAAGAGGCATTAGTGAGGCGTCAATCACCTTGATGACATATTTTTTGAAATTATTTTAAATTTCTCACTGGGAACTACCATTATCCCAGTTAGTCTGCTGAGGAAATGATATGAAGTTTTCATGTGTCGGAACGTTAAATGTCTTAAAAAGGATGAAAGGAGCTTACAGTGACTTCTCAGCTAGTCTCTGTCAATCAGATAAAGTGGATGACACACATTTTTTTTACCTTTCAGTGGCCACCAGTCATACCTGCAGTCCGGTTTCGAATCACGGCCAAAACAGCTGTGAACATTACTAAGCCGTTAGTGAGCCCCAAAAAGAAGAAAGCTTGGAAATGAAGCCTACAACCTTACTAGTATGGTGTAACCTCTAAGCTCAAAACTCAAGCTTTGTTTTCCACTAGGAATTTGATGGAATGAAAAAAGTAATGGTAATCAGTTACTCGATAAGCTAAGGAATATATATATTTCAATAACATTACAAAATTGAATATTCCCATAATTAATTCAGAACAAAATATTTAGAGCGAACAATTGTTTTCAATAAATTCTTCTTCAGGCTCTACATTTATAAATCCATTAATTTAAGCATACAATAGCCAGTAAAGGCAGATTAGAATCATATCGGAAAGTGTATTGTGGAACAAATATATGATGGGATGGAACAATAGTCAGTTAGTTTTTTTTAATATACATGGTCAATGAGAACATGGGACAAAATCAGATGAAGTAATTTAATTTAATGATGTGTGTATATATATAAATATAGTCAACAGAAATACAGGTTTCGAGAGTGTGTGTAATCGTTGGTCTATTTTCATATCGTCTCACACACCCTGATTACACACACTCTCGAAACCTGTATTTCTGTTGACTATATTTATATATATACACACATCATTAAATTAAATTACTTCATCTGATTTTGTCCCATGTTCTCATTGACCATGTATATTAAAAAAAACTAACTGACTATTGTTCCATCCCATCATATATTTGTTCCACAATACACTTTCCGATATGATTCTAATCTGCCTTTACTGGCTATTGTATGCTTAAATTAATGGATTTATAAATGTAGAGCCTGAAGAAGAATTTATTGAAACCACAATTGTTCGCTCTAAATATTTTGTTCTACATTACAAAATATATACTTTTAGAAATCAGGCCAAATGAAACACGTTTATCACTCATAAGTATTCTCGGGAAACAAATTGCGACTGTTATTACAGTTCAGGCGACTGAGCATTCATTATTCAGATAATACCTTAAAAAACAGTATTTTTACATCTGGAAATAATAGAGAAGATTTGTAGCTCAGGTGGATGATTTGCCATTAGTATATAGAAAATCAAAGCACACAGATCAAATACACAAATATATTAGCAATAATCTAATAACCCACAAAAGAAGCTGTGTGGAGACGTTGTCTAAAAGAATTCAAACACACTGTAGCACTCCAATGTTGAAAAGAATGAAAGAAAAATACCTACTAACTGTCTTCAAAAAGAGGAATGAATTCCCATACAATTTCATCAAAAAGTGTTTAAAATCGAATCACAACACCAACAAGAAACCATCATCAAAGAACACAACAAAATTCATCCTAACATATATAAAAAATATCTCTTAAGTAACAGCTGGAATATTAAGACCGTTTGTAATAGAAATAGCACACAAGTCAACCAGCACAGTCACTTCATTCGATATTGTGCAAACCGAAAGATCTAACAGAAAAAGAAGATAAAAATATTACAATTTACAAAATAAAGTGCATGTATGAACTGCAATAAACATTACATCGGTCAACAAAGTGGACGTCCCTTTCGAATCAGAATCCAGGAATTTAAATGAGCTGTGAAAAGACATGATGTATATTCCTATTTCATATTAATGCATGTAGGTAATTATGGACATCAGTTTGATTGGGATAATGTCGAGATTTTAAACGGAGGAAACACAAAACAGTAATGCCAAAGAATTCCTAGAAGCCTGGTACTCAAACGAACATGCGATTAACAAACATGTTAATATAGACCAAATTTACCAACTAATAAAAAGTAAATCACCACATGACAAGAAAGTTCAAATTCCAAGTCAATAAAAGTGATCAATACAGATGTCATGAAGATGGTTACCGGGAAATGCAATTCTAACACTCATGGAAAATTTAAATCAGTTCACTTTGTGCTAAAGATTGCGCTGAAATGGGATGTTGTCCAGCAGGGGGGGGGGACGATGAAAGCTGAGCAACTAAGCCAACCAGCTCAGAGAACACTACTAATTGCAAATTTTTTACATCTTGTTTTGAGGATTTATTAAAGCTATCCTCTTCATGGATGGTGATGCTACTGATTTCTGTAAAAGCCTCCCAAAGTTAACAATAGCAGATGAGAGACTATTATTTAGGATATCCAGAGTCTGGAGCATGTCAAGAAGCGGGTTCATCTTTGCCGTCTAAAGCGATTTTGAGTTATATCACCAACAATCTCCACAATCATTTCTTAGAATTCCAAAAGTCATATCTGGGCAGTCTACACCTGCTAACTCAAACCAATAGTTAAAGACTTTATAGTCCTGTATCAGTATGCGTAACATATGTCCTAGCTACTTCAGTCAACAGAGCTTTACAACCCTGTAAATTTAAGTTTTCCTGCTTTCTTAGCACTCTGCACCTAACCACAATAATGCTGAACATATTGTATTACACAAGTTGACAGGTATTATGCTACTTTTCGTGACATTTCAGCTGTGAGCACTCATGAACGTCGGGTTGCGAGGTGAAACACTGGCATGAAGTGCTAAATTTGTGCTATACAGGAGTCTCAGGCTTAAGACTCATCTATTATCCACCTATTCCTCAAACGATTCGTAATATGAACCACTTTGAATCAATCAAATTCAAAAGACTCAAGAATAACACCATATTGGTTGGTCTCTAGTGATTAGTTAATTCGTAAATCACGACAGAGGGTGAAATAGATACTCTCTGTGTGTATCAGACAATAATCTGCCCGAGGTGGAATGCCTGGATGTTTATGATTGGCTAATGTAGTAAATGACCTTGAAGTGTATCGATTTAACTTTTGGTTATACTAAATTTATTAAAATTGCATTGAATATAAAGTATATTTGCTTCCAGATAGTACAATTTATATTTTGGTGTATTTTCTTTTTAAAAATTTTTTAGACTTATTAATGCTGTGTATGAAAGAACGCCTAATTTACCACCAAAAGCTCAAACAATTCGAAGACCAGTTAAACCAAATGCTGGAAATGCACCATTTAAACAAGTAAGAGATATGCTTATACTTTTCTGTGAAATATTTAATGTATTATAATATAATAACCGATTATTCACACATGATACAAGATAATAACAATGAACGTTTGACGAATTACTAATAGAATTTCATAGACTTAACTATAGTGAACACAGGAGTAAGATAGGGATGTCTGTCATCAGTGTCTGTAAGTATGGTGTGTGCTTTGCACCGTCTAAGTACAAAGTACTGTTACAAGATTGACAGAAGCCTGTACCTGCACTCACTCTTGCGGGTGAACCGCTTGAAGTTGTTGATAAGTTTGTGTATCTGGGTAGTTGTGTGAGTTCTGGCGGAGGGGTGACGGATGAGATTTCCAACCGTATAATGAAGGCTAGGGTGGCATACATCAACTTGAGCCACCTCTGGCGCCGTCGCGACGTTAGTCTGGCTGTCAAAGGTCGGGTATACAATGCTTCGGTGCGGGCTGTCTTGCTCTACGCCTGTGAAACCTGGCCTCTCCGAGCTGAGGATGTGCGGCGACTCTGTGTGTTCGATCATTGCTGTCTCTGCAGGATTGCTTGCGTTCGATGGCATCATCGCGTGAGTAATTCTGAGGTTCGGCGGCGTGTGTTTGAACACAGTGGAGATCACCATTCATTGAGTGTCGTCATCTGGAAACACCGGCTCCGGTGGTTTGGACATTTGCTGCGAATGTCATCCCAGAGGCTTCCGTACAGGTCTCTGTTCGCTAGCCCTGGGACGGGATGGAAAATGCAGCGGAGAGGTGGTCAGTCCATGACGTGGCGTCGTGGGATGAAGGATATTTGTGCTAGATTAGCATCGGTTGGTGCGTCACGACTCCCTGGTTGGAGTCCGCGAGATAGCTCGAATCGATGGCTCGAAACGTTATCGGATATGGCCAAGAATCGCAGTCATCATTGGCGAACGTGTTGCAATTTCCTTCTTTCTTCCCTTCCTGATGATAGTTAACGAAAACTGTTTGAACTTGTTAAACATGACTGTTTTCCTTCCAGATGAAGTTCTTTATCCGTTTTCCACTTATATTTTTACTTTTAATCTATGTTGTTTTATTATTATTATTGTGTGGTGCATCTTTCTTGGTGCCATGTTGTACCAAGTTTTTTCTGTGTTTAAATAATAATAACTGTCATCAACGATGATGGTGGACTGGATTATGCGTGAGACTGTGAGGAACGACAAGACAGCAATACGGTGGACGCACCGGTAAGAATACTTTAGAAGATCCGGATTTCACGTCTGGATGATATATGTTTAATTCCACACAAACTCGAAGACTTTCAGGCGTAAACCAACAAATTAGCTGAAGGGACGGGCAGCGAAGAGAAGACTCTACAAGATCTGGATTTCGCAGATAATATATGCCTAATGTCACATAAACTCGAAGACTTGCGGGCGAAAACCAACAAACTGGCAGAAGAGACGAGGCTGACAGCAAAGACAGGACTCCATGTGAACATGGAAAAGACAGGTGATGAAGATAACCAACCACCACCAACAGCAACAGCAACAACAGCCAGCACCAATCACCATCAACGGGAGAGATTTGACAGAGGTCACTCATTTCCTTCACTTATCTAGCCAGGAAGCATCGTTTCAAACTACAGCTGGCGGAAAAGATGAATATGTCAAAGCAGGCCAGAATCGGAAAGACAAGATACGCCTTCATCAACATGAAATCAGTTTGGAAATCTTCTGCTTCACTAACTCAGCCAGCATAAACAACAAGATTCGGATTCTGTTCAACAAAAATGTGAAGTCAGTCAGTCAGTTATTCTATACGGGTCAGAAACTTGCACTGTGAGCCCGTCATGAAAAGGATTTCCAACAGGCTACTGCAGGCAGAATTTTATCAATAGCTGGCACCTTCGCTGGCTGGCTCCATACTGAAGATCAAATGGCCAGTCGGTCAGCCAGAAAGAATTAGCAACAAGAAACTCTGGCTGGCTGGGAACAAACCAACAAGCAAGAGCCAATCGCCCAACAAGTGGATATGTAGGAGAAAATGGAGATGGATTGATCGGGGATATGTTGAGGAAACCGTCGAATAACATCGCGCGGAATGCAGGTGAACCTTGGTGGGATTATTGTTGTCATACTCTTGAAGAGTCCTTAACTCTGTCGAAACGGCTGTTCAGTACCCGCTGATTTCTAGTAGTTCCCTCACTGATATCAGTTAGTGATTTAACTTGATATTCGATAGGTACATTAGTTGAATCTTCTGTGATAAACAGTCAAGTTAATGGTGATAATAATAGTAATAATGACATTACTACAAGCGGTATCTTTGATACAGTATGGAATTTTCCACGTATAGTGCATCCAATTTTCTCCCTAAATTACGTAATTAAGGGAAAAATAATCAAAAAAAGACTTTTCTCGACATTTACGGTTATACTTTTGGTAACAATATATAAATACAAAAAATACGAATAATATTATTAACAGAATATTAATGTTTAAAAGAATAAAAGGTGCCGATTCTTTACAATTTCTCAGTAAGTTGATATTGTCATACCCGACATTTTTTTTCATCGCGTAAAATGCATACCATATATGAGGTGTCTTTGATATTCTATTTTTAGCCGTAGAAACATAGTTGTTATTATTGTATTCAATTTAGATTTTCCTGTCGAATGACTGAATTGAAGTGCTCAGTGTCAGGTTGACATACTGGCTCTTTGTGCAGAGGCTTCGACGATGTCTGGTCCATGTGTAACTTGAAGTTAACTGGCGGATGATGACTACTAGTGGAATTCGGCCAGTATGCGCATTTCGTCCTATTTGGGACTCATCATCTGGATGTACCTGCACATCCTGGACTCCACTGCTAGTCACCAACCACCAACTGACTTCAAGTTACAGATATGGACCACACATCGTCGAGGCATCTGCACAAGGATTCAACATGTCAACCTGAGACCAAACACTTCAGTTCAATCAATCGACAGGAAAATTTCAATTGAATTAAATAACTGATGAGACCCATTGCACAAGAAAGAGGTGGCTCTCGTCGTCCAAGCGGTGGTCTAGTGGATGACGCTTCGTCACTTGAAACTATGTGTTCTAGCCTTGGTGGGAGCGCCATCATTGACTCACTGAGGAATGCAAGCAAATCCAAATGACGAGTCCCAAATAGGACGAAATGCACATCTTGGATTTCATTGCTAGTCACCATCCTCAAACTGACTTCATAGTTATTATTATTATGTCCTTAAGTTACTAGTGGAAAATAGGATTTTAACGACAAATCTCCATCTTCTCTGCAGTCCTCTTTAGCAGACTCCATGATTGGGCATAAGATTTTGTCCACCTTTCACATGATCTCCGTGTCACTTTCGGATGGCCGACTCGCATAAAGGCATTTACAAAGTTGTCTTTAGTCCCGTCACAGATAATACAAGGGTACAGTTGTGAATAAAGAGCCTTCTGAGAGTCCGACAAGATGACTTTAGCGAATTTCTTGCATGAGTTCAATAGTCTGTTAACAACGATATCAACTAGTTGGTTGAGTGACACATTACTCATCCTGCCGAAAGTTTTAAGCGTCCTTCGCAATGTAACAAAATCTTTCCCTAATAAAAAAGAGTAAACTAACTGCAGAAGTAGAGTCTAAGTGATACCAGGCTGCCATAAGTTCCTAGTGTAGAAGGTAAGACGAAATATTTTTCTCAAGCAATCAAGAGGATTTAGAACAAGTAGAAAAAGGTCAGAGGAATGATGTGAACCAAGAAAAGGTGTTCAGACATATCATTCTAAATCTGTAAAATCATATATGTGTAGTAAATTTTCTCAACAACAAAATGAATGATGGGAGTGATCAGAACTCAGCTGAAATTGAGAGATGCTCAAGTTAAGATCAGTGTCATAAGGATCCGAAATCTTATAGTGTTAGGGGGGAGGGAAGGAAGAATAATGTAATAAAGAAAACTTAAATTATCAGAATTCACAAAAATTACATATCCAGTGTTAAGAGAGGTCCATTGCAGGTTCAGTGACGGAAGAAACTTCTTCTGTATGCAGAATCCTGGAATTTTACATGTGGATAGCTATGGCTTCTGTGGTTTGAAGAAGTTTGATTCTAACCCTTGTGGGAAGATCTCCATATACACTGTAGTTGGCTGTGAAGTTGTCTTCCGGGTTCTCTCGGTGTTCCTAAATAGAACTGAGGTGGATCATTTTTTCTCCTTTGTAAAATCATAAGGGATAGTGTTCCATGATACATTTGGAGTGCAAACGCTGAATACGTCGACATACCTAGCCCTCCCACCCCCAAGAAGCAGGTAGATTGATAGATACAAACTGATGAAGCCAACAGTGGTACCTTACCCTTCACGTTCATACGAATGATTTTTTTTTGTAGAGAAATTGCGTCCAACATCGGCTCTGTAGAAGTTTTTCTTCAGTGAACAGAACCGATAAGTCTTCATTAAACTTTAGAATCAGATAGAGAATTTTCTCGAAGACGGAAAGTATATGCAGTTTTAGTGGTGTAGACATCATGGATTTTGTGATGAAGCATTCGCAGTTAGCATTCTCAATGAGAATCCCTATTGGAATGTTCGTCTTCCCTCCCATGGTGTCAGGACTGCATATGTTGTGTATTCTTTGGAAGTAAACTGATCAGGTTTTACTTTGCAAATAAAGACAACCGACTGTGGAAGTGTAAAGACTTGTCCATTTCATGTTGACATTTCTGTGAATAGATCTTTTCAGTGTTCCATCTTGTTTTCTATTTTCGACTAAAAATTATTTAGACGCTAGGCCACTGGAGATCTCACGAGATGTCCCAAATTAGAATGGAAGTGATGTTTCAAACCAACTTACTTATTTCTCATCGATTTTCTAACCCATGTCATCCATTTTCTCCTGATAATAAGAGAATCCAATTGGGAGAATTATTTACCTCCAGAAAAAGTAAAAGGTAAAAGCCTTGAAACTTAATAATTACCCTGATAAATTAGTCAGGAAATATGTAAGGAAATTTAAAAATAAAATAAATAATGATAGTAGCAATAGTGATAATAACAATAACA